GGTAACAGAGAGCAGGGATCAGTGCTGCTCGTCCTCTACCCATCATGAGGAAGCTATAGGGTGTTAGGAGGTCTCCCCTCAGTCTCTTCTTCTCCAGACTGAACAAACCAAGTGACCTCAGCTGCCACTTGTACAGTCTCTCTCCAGACCCTTCAACATCTTCATAGCTGCCTTAGGTCACTTTCCAGCAGCTTTTATATCCTTCATTGTCAGACTGCAACTGAAGGCTGAGTTCCCCAGGACAATGTTAACTGTGAGGTTTGCCTTCAAACCTGCCTTTGGCTCAGAGAAGTGCCTATTTTTCATTTTTGCTGGGTGGCAGCAGAGTTTCGACAGGAGGAGAAAGGATGAAGCCTATCTTGTGGCTTTGCTACGGATGGGAAGAGAGGTGGGACTGTCCTTGTGCCAGCTCTGTAGATGTGTGCTGGTTTTAGGTAATGATAAACTTGCACCTTGAGCCTCCTGGCTTGGGTGAACTCCAGCCTGTGCCCTGAGGTGAGGAACTGTCCCATGCCATTGAAGAACTCAACACTGCTGCCATGGGGCAAAACATCAGCTCTTGAGGAATGCTGGATGTTTCCTGCAGCGTTCCTAAGACAATGTTAAACTTGAGTGAGGGTCCTGCAATCCTGCCTTGGCACCAGTGCTTGAGCTGCTCCCACGAGCAGCAGGTGAATCCCCTAGCACATGTTTGTGCAGCAAAACAGACACACAATTCCCTGTTATTTACTCTACCTCTAAATAACCACAATAAATGGGATGCAATTCCTCAGTCTCTTCACATGCCTAATTCCCAACGACTTCAATGAGCATTTCTGCCTGAGACAGAGCTGTGGAATTACTCCTAACAACTGGCATGACTTAACTTGTTCCTTCTTATAACTTTATGGTTTACTTACATGTCAAATTGTATTTTCTGGATTAGCAGAATGAATATAATAACCCTCTTTCTTCAAGTAGGTCAGAGTTTTCCTCTTTTCTGCAGGGCAAATTACTGTAAAATGTGAACATTTCATGGATTCCCTTTTCCATATTTTGGTTACTGTCATGTGGAGTCTTTTAGGTATCTACAGGTAACAAAATAATACACATACATATTCTGCTTTCCCTTTTTTATTCACATAAAATATTTCATCCAGCTGAGAGCAATTCCTCCAAGATCTACAGTAATAACTGCTACTGTGAACAATGTGAGTGGTTTAAAATTCCAACTTGATAGTTTTTAAAGAAGAAAAGAGGATATTTTCTGTGTCTTGATAAGAAATACCAAAAAGAAAGGAGGAAAGAAAGTGAGCCATGACACTGATCCTACATAAAACTGATCAGGTTTAAATTAAACAGAGCTTTGAATGCACTTTCTCTCAGGTCTTGATTAACCAGATTCCAGTTTGAGAGTTATTTCATATTTATAATTCTTAATCTCAGAAACAGTTTGTATCAGCTTTAAAAAATACATTTACATATAGTATCTGTGCATTCCACATCTTACAGAATACAAAAGCAAGCAAGCCTTTTCTTGCTTGAGGGTTGCTTGTTTGTTAATTTGCTTGTTTTTGAATCTACGCCTTCCAGACAGGAATCTGCTGTTTTCCTGCATGTCTGGCTTCTGAAATCACCTCTTGGGGCAGTTTGTCTGCAGCTCCATGAGGCAGAGCTGAACCCAAGATTCAGCACTTCAATTGATCTTGGTTGCCTTTAGTTTGCATTCTTTACATTTTCAGATGTGTATTACCCTTATATGATAGGTGCTATTTAATCCTTTGAACAAATTTTGTTCTTTCTGTATTTTTCTGCTTATTGTGAAAAGAATATGGTTGGATAAATCCAAACCAATTTGGAGATGAGCTTAAGAATAAGAGCATTTAAAGGAGGTAAAAGGCAGCTCTTGAGTTGAGTCTATGAAAGGGATGTAGCTCCCAGCACGTTATTTTTGTGGCTAGATAGGTAGAGGGCATCATTAGCATGACCTGAGATAACAGAAAAGTGACCTACCATGCTAATGAAATGTCAGAGAAAAAAGCAATCTAACTTTAAACCAACATTTCTTACCTGGGAAAATCCCATTGATCTCATGGATTGCAAATTCTGTAAGGCTAATTAAGAAATGTGAGCATGCAACAAACAAAATTATGTGATTTTTTCCTAACACCAGAGATTGCAGAACATGGCTTGGACTGGAAGGGACATTAAAGATCGTCCACTTTGAAACACCCCTGCCATAGGCAGGGACACCTTCCACTGTCCCAGGTTGCTCCAAGTGCCATCCAACTTGGCCTTGGACACTTCCAGGGATCCAGGGGCAGCCACAGCTGCTCTGGGCACCCTGTGCCAGGGCCTGCCCACCCTCATAAGGAGGAATTTCTTCCTGATATCCAATCTAGACCTCCTCTCTGGCACTGGGAAGCCATTCCTTCGTCCTGTCCCTCCAGGCCCTTGTCCAAAGTCTCTCTCCATCTTTCTTGTCAGATCCCTTCAGGTACTGGAAGGCCTCAGTTAGGTCACCCCAAAACTTCTCAAGGATGAGCAATCCAAATTCTCTCAGCCTTTCCTCACAGCAGAGCAGCTCCATCCCTCTGATCAACTTGGTAGCCTCCTCTGGACTTGTTCCAGCAAGTTCTTGTCCTTCCCATGCTGGGGATGGAGCCAGATGCAGAACTCCAGGTGAGATCTCACCAGAGTAGCATAGAGAAGCAGAATGAACTGGGACAATATGTAATACTCTAAGCAGAGAGATCATTGCTTATTCTCAGCCTTAAAATTTAATCATTTTCACAAAAAAATCATAACTTCAACTAGAAATAAAGGGGTTCCAATAGCTCCTGGATAATAACTGTCTCTGGACTTAAGAAACTTGGCATGGTACAACTGTGTATTCATTCAGCAGTCATGACTCTGAAATGTATTTTGCAATTTAGCACCTAAGGCCCAACTTTTGGTGCTTTATGAACTCATCTTTGGCAGCAGATGCAGGGCACTGTTTGCTGGCAGAATTGGGCTAGGAGGAGACACAAACATATTAGCAAATTGAGCCTAACTCTCTGTGTGTTTATAAAGAGCTCAACATCATCCGTTCTCCTCCCAGCCCTTGCTGCATCAAGCTGACTGCACATTGGGAAAATTTTCTCCAAAGGCATAAGCAGTGCTGCCCCCTGACATCCAAGGTTTGAGCAATTTGGTTAGAATTTGGTTAGAGGTTAAGGAATATTTTCAAATGGTTTGCTTTAGTGAGGCGAAGCTATGCAAATTCTCTGTGTGTCAACTAGGATATCATGTTTTCTTTGTGGAAGAAAGAAATTATTTTCCAGCATTGATAAATTTGTCAGGATGATTTATGGACAAAGGGCAAGAGGCACCCAAAAGTTACCACTGCTAAGACTGAGGGGTTTTTTTGTTTACTTGGTTTATTTTTTTTTTTTTTGGGCTGTTTTTTTGTTGCTCTTCCTAGTGAGATGGACACGATAAAAAGTGAAATACTGTTTGTCTTCTTCTGTACTCTGCTGTTGTGAGATCCCACCTGGAGTGCTGGAGCAAGCCCAGAGAAGGGCACAGCAAGGATGGAAAACTTCTATGAGTAAAGGCTGGTAGAATTTGAATTGTTCAGCCTGGAGAAAAGAAGGCTCTGGGGAGACCTTGGAGCCCCTTCCAGTGCCTAAAGAAGCTCCAGAAGAGCTGGAGAGGGACCTGGGACAAGGGATGGAGGGACAGGAAAAGGGGATGGCTTCACACTGCCAGAGGACAGGGTTAGATGGGATATTGGGAAGGAATTGTTTACTGGGAGGGTGGGCAGGCCCTGGCACAGGGTTCCCAGAGCAGCTGTGGCTGCCCCTGGATCCAGGGAAGTGTCCAAGCCTGGGACAGTGGAAGATGTCCCTGCCCATGGCAGCAAATGGAACTGGATGAGTTTCAAGGTCTTTTCCAACCCAAACCAGTCTATGATTTTTTTGGATAAAACCAGAATGCATTTATTAATCATGCCTCACAGCTCCCCTTAAACGTCCAGATCTTGTGGTTACAAAATGTTCTCCAGGTGTAATTTAACCCAGGGAAAGGTCGGGGTTGTGCTGGCTCGTTCCAACCTGTTCCTGCTCACCTGCTGGTCCCAGCTCCAAGCTCCTGCTCCGAGCACACCGGGCCCTCCTGGAGCTCACTCCCCCCCATTCCCTCCCTCTCTCCCAAGGCAGCAGAGCCTGAAGTTCGAGGTTCCATCAATGCCCTTCCATGTGGAGAAGGGCAGGGCTTGGGTACGCGGAATGGACCGTGACACACTGGGGAGGAGACTGGTGCGTGTGGGCAAAAACACCTGGCGCAGGAACTCCCCTTAGCAACCTCAGTGAATTCCTGGTTATTTCGAATTATTTTATTTTAGCCATATGTTAAAAGATCGGAAGAAAGCTCATGCACATCTTTTGGGAAGAGAAAGGTCAGGGCTGAGCACACACAGAGCACTTATACATCCCTGGGGCTCCTGCAGTCGCCAGCGGAGTTACCACCACCATCCCACACACTTCCCATTCCCAGGAATGTTTTCCCAATTCCTCTCATTTTTTTGTCAGTGCTCGCCCTTTTCTACAGTGACTTCCTCGAGGGCCCAAGTGCGGATGAGCGGTGACAGCGGCGGGAGGCGCTGGGGCGGAGGGATTCCTCCCGCCAGGCTGTGTGTGGGGTTCTGTGGTTACAAAGATTGCTCCCAAGGCTAATTCGGCAGACGGGAGACGAGCCCGCAGTCTGAGGGACGGGGATGCCGGTGTGAGGGATGGGGGAAGGCGGTGATGTAAGGGGGATGGGACGAGCCTCTCCGAGGGCCGGGGGGATGCGGCGAGGGGGGCCCGCGGGTACCGCCCCTGAGGGCCGCGGTGGGCGGGGCCCCGGTTCGAGGGCGTCCACCTATGGGGAGCCCCTTCGCCAAGGGGAAGTGCCGGAGAACGGGGGCGGTGGCTGCCAATCAGCTCCGACAGCCAATCGTCAGGCGTAATTTTGGTGACGTCATCCGGGAGGGGGCGGGGCGAGGAGCTGTTACGGTGGCCCGCGGCCGCATCCGCCTCTCATCCGCGGGCTCCGGCACCGGCAGCACCTCCGGCACCTGCGGTCGCTCTGCACCTCCAGCAGCACCAGGTACGGCCCGTCCGGCTCTCGGGGGCCATTCCTGCCCCTCTCCGGGCCACCGTGCCCCAGTTCTGTCCCGCCGCAGCCGGCCCCGTCGGCAAGGCCCCGGGAGCGCTGTCGCTGTGCGGGGAGCGGGGGAGGTGACAGCCCGTCCCTTCCTCTGTGCCTGTGTCAGCCCCGCCAGGCGATGCCACATCCTTGCCTCTGCAGTGTCTTTGACCGTGGCCTTGGCGGGGAGATGGCGAGCTGGATCTGGCATTTCACCGCTGGGTTTATTGCTTTTCCTAATTTTTTTTGTTTGTTTGTTTGTTTTGCTGGAGAAAAGAAGGCTTAGAGGGGACCTTGTCCCTTTCTACAACTCCCTGAAAGGGGACTGTAGCCGGGCAGGGATCGGGCTCTTCTCCCAGGTAACAAGTGACAGGACGAGAGGAAACAGGCTCAAGCTGTGCCAGAAGAGGAAATACCAGGAGGAAATTCTTCACAGAAAGGGTGATTAGACATTGGAAGGAGCTGCCCAGGGAGGTTTGGGCTCCCTGTCCCTGGAGGTGTCCAGGGAAGGCTGGGATGTGGCACTCAGGGCTCTGGGCTGGGGACAAGGTGGGCATTGGGCACAGGCTGGACTCGGTGATCTCAGAGGTCTTTTCCAGCCTCGGTGATTCTGTGATCCTGCAATTCTTGTCTGCCAGCCTAGGTCCTGAGCTGTTCCTGCTGGTCTGCACAGGTAGCTTGGCATGTCCACACTGATACCCCCCCGTTTGTCCCCTTGAGCCTTCACCCCTTTGATTCAGCTGGTGGAGGCTGCAGTGTGGCACTGATTCCTCTCTGCTCCATCAACATGAACCTGAGTGTTTTCATGCACTTGACAATATCCCCTATTTACCTTGGGGTGTTTTTCAGTGTCAGGTACATACAGCCATTCAATTTACCTGTGCAGTCTGTAGGCTGCTGTCTGGATAATCTTGCTCAACAGCTGAGCAAAGCTGTTCAAGTGTTTTACAGCTGTGTTTTGAGTGGTTTTTCTGTTCTGATGCAAGACCTCTTCCAGTTGGTGCAATTCCTTGGCTTCTGATTCCCGTACTGCCTGCTACAGTGCGCGATCATATTTCTCACAGTTGGTAATGAGCTTGATTTTATTTCATTTTGTTTGCTTGGGTTTTTTTCCTTATTTATTATTCCTCCTCTTTCCTGATATTTCTGTTCATCTTGTTTTGCTGATCATCAACCCCAAATTTTCCCCTTCCTTTTAACTCCAGATTCATCTGTAATTCTCAGTTTTATTCAACTTTTCTCCATGTAATGTTCCACACCTTGGCTAAAGTGATGTGGCCTCACTTAGCACAGTTTTCAGGGCAATTCCTTTTATGGAGGAAAAAGCCCTTTTAAAAAAAATCTGATGAATATTTTCCAATATGCAAGAAGTAAAACAACAACCTCAAACTGGGGATCTGTGATCCTTCTTGCAGGGAGGTACCTCTGATATAGAGCAGATAAGCATTTAACTTCTTTGTACCTTTCAATTCAGGAATGTCTGGAAAATCTCCAAAATATAGAAACTTGTGATAGAATTACTGCTCTGCCATGGAGGTGTGCCAGGGGCCAGGATGTCACAGGCCAATTACATTTTAGGGGTTGAGCAGGTTGAAATTTTGAGTCATCAATTTTTTTTCTTGCACAGAGAAGTATTTGTCTTTTTTGTTTGCAAAATCCTTGTGTAACAATCTTGAAAAGTATTAACACAAAGGGCTAATCTTTAACAGCTGGAAACATGCCCAGAGTTGTGCAGTATTCATCTCTTGCTGGAATGGAGAATACTGACTCTTCCTAAACACTTAGATTTTGGTAGATGGAGAAGAAAGTCTTGGCTTTGGTTAGAAGAGAGGAGCAGCAAAGTAATACCTGAGGAGTTTGCTGAAAGAAATGCCTCTCTGTTCAAGGCAACACATTCAGGGTGTGGATTTTTTCCAAAATAAATTAGGGATAAATCCATGACTTAATATTTCTGTCTTCTGCAAACAGCCTGAAATAACAGCACCCTTGTGTAAGCCATCCTTGCATCCTCCTGTTGGTATTTAATAAATGTATTTTTGGTAGGTTTTGCAGACTGCTTCTGTTAGGTGGTGCAGCAGTGTCCAGGCTACTCAGCTCTTCACTTTGCTGGGGAGTGTGTTACAGGGAGGCTGCATTTGATAAGCAGAGCACTTGTGATCTGTGATCCTCCTCTGGGGATTAAACCTTTTGCCAGTTTTGCAAGTGTGATGTTCTGTGAGACCAGAAACCTGAGCTTTGGGAACTCTTGGCTCTCTGCTGTTCCCTGCTGTGGGAAGAGCTTCCTGAAACAGCTTTTCAAGTGCCAACTCACTCCCTCTTCTCTGGGAAGTATCTTTATATCCACTGAGGTGCAGGCATGGAGAACAAATCAAAGTGCATTTGCCTCACGAAATCCTACCCTCAGGTTATCCCTAGATGGTGACAATACAAGATTTTGTATTCAGGGGAAATTGCTGGGAAAATAGAGTGCTCTAATGATCATTAATATCTGACAAATTCTTACTTTCCATCTATTTTTTGATCACAGAATCACAGAATGGTTTGGGTTGGAAGGGACTTTAAAGCTTATCCAGTGGCACTGCCTGCCATGAGCAGGGACACCTTCCACTATCCCAGATTGCTCCAAGCCTCATCCAACCTGGTCTTGGACACTTCCAGGGATAGCCAATATCATGGAAGTTTGTAACATGATTTGCCTGATGACAATCCGGTAGAAAATGGGCATTTCAATAGAACAAGAAATTTGATGAGCTTAACTTTAACTGTAGTTAAAAATACTGTAGTTTTCTTTTAGTGAATCAGAATTTAAGGTGCAGTGAAAAAGGAACACTTACAGGAAGAATGATGTAACTAGTTCACAGACTTGCTGAGTCACACAGTTTTGTTTTCTTTCTGTTTCTGTAAGTGTAGGGAGTAGAAAAAAAATCACTTGTTTGATGTTAATCCCACATTAATTTATACTTCATATAAGCTTTCTTGGCTGAATTGCAACATAGTTGAGGAACCTGTAATCTTGGCAGTAAACCCATTTCAATCGTGTCAGACATTTCTTCTGAAGTGTTCTTAGTGCTAATTATTAACTTGCTTTATTTTTTTCCCTCCAGATCTGTATCAGAACTCCTGAAGTCCATCATGCTTTCCAAGCTAACCCGCTCCCAGAACCTTGCTGTTCTCTGCCGAGGCCTTCATTCCTCACTGAGCTCTGCTACCTCAGTTGCTCCTAAAAAAAACATTCAGGGGCCTCTCTCGTCTGATTTAATCTTTGAACGTGAGGCAAAATACGGTGCCCACAACTATCACCCTCTGCCTGTTGCTCTGGAAAGAGGAAAAGGTATTTTATTTAGCTTTTTCCTGGAGGTTGTGGGGTGTGTCTGTGTAGGGTGAATAAGATCATGGTAGAATGATTTTGATCTGATTGATTTCTCAGTCTTTATTGGGTTGTTTTTTATTTGGGTGGGATTGAGATAACTGATGAAATAAAGTCAGCTAATGGTGGATTAGGGAGGTGGATCATTATGCATAAGGGCACCTGAAAAAATTGTGGTGCCTCTAAAATGATTTAAAGTATTGATGATTTCCAGAATAAGTTGGCAGAAAAATTTTCAAGCAACTTAATTTCTTCATTTTTTCTGTTACCTTGTGTGGAGAGGTTTAACATTAGTGTGAACATGAAAGGGTGCACTGGAACCTTCTCTAAGTCCTTGTGGGCTGTTCATATATTATCACTTAATTTAAATTTTCTCTGGCCTTTAATTATGTTTGAGGATTCTTTTTTTGTCTTGTGTCTTCTTTTATTTTGTGTACTGATCATAGGCTTGTTTTCCCAGGTGTTTATGTGTGGGATGTTGAAGGTAGAAAATATTTTGACTTTCTGAGTGCTTACAGCGCTGTCAACCAAGGCCACTGTCACCCTAAGATCGTGGATGCTCTGAAAGCCCAGTCTGAAAAACTGACCCTGACATCCAGGGCATTCTATAATGATGTCCTTGGGGAATATGAGGAGCTTGTCACCAAAATGTTCAATTATAACAAAGTTCTTCCAATGAACACAGGTAAAGAAATACTGTGTTTCCATTTTGTTCTTGTCCCTGAGATTCGAAGGTTGTGTAACATTTTCTGCTGCACTGATGGCCTGTTTCATGTGTAAGACTGATAATGGTGCTGTTTTATGTTTTAGGAGTGGAAGCTGGAGAAACTGCCTGTAAACTGGCTCGGAAATGGGCCTACACTGTGAAAGGAATTCCAAAATACAAAGCTAAAATCATTTTTGCAGGTATGTAAAGTGCATGTTATGAGTTGAGGACTTGAGGATCTGGACACTGGGTTACTGGGAGGCAGCCTGAAGTCACAGGGGAAGAACATCCATGCTCTTTTAATCACTTAAAATGCAGTGCTTTTTATTCCTGACTTGTTCCTGCATAACTCTTTTGTGGATTAACTCCTCAAACTGGTGTCACTTTTCTCATAGATTACACAGTAGAGCTAAGCTGCCCTCTTGGCTTCACCTACCACGGCTTTTGTCCTGCATTCTCCAGGCTTTCCGGAAATTGGCATTAACCCAATAAAGTCATACTGGAGCACTGATCATATAATAAAAATAAAAGCAACATTGCTAAAGTAAATAATGAACTTTTATTCTCTGCTGGGATATTTCTTTCCTTTACCTGCCTGCCCTGCTTGGCTCTGTAACTTCAAGGAGAAGTTACCAGGCCCTGAAGAGACTTCTCTTTTTTTTTAAACAAAAAAAAATTTAAAAAAATAAAATTAAAAAATTTATTATATTTAGTATTCTTTGGTTACAGATAAAGCAATTTTGTCAATACTAGTTTTGTTTAATGGTTCTGTATTTTAGAAAACCTTCCAGAATAAAGTTTACTATTTAAATACTGACCTTTTTTTTTGTAGCTGCAAATACTATTTTTAACTTTTGGTATATATAGTAGCTATAAATGTCATTAGGCAGCATTTATGAATTGCGGTGCATACTTGAATTTTGCTTTATGATTTCTGGAAATTAATAGAGATTTTTTTTGTTTGTTTGTTTTTTTCATTTCTTCTGGGAATTCTTTCAACACATATTTCTCCTTTTTTCTCTTCTCTATACATTTAATTTTGCTTTTCAGACAACTTTTAGTAAGTTTTTTCTCATTTTGATAAAGGGGATATGCTCCCCATTTTGGCAGAAAAAAAACTCTTTTGCATAACTAAGAAATGACCTTGGACATCATTTTAAAGAGCTTTACACGGACTCTGCTGGATTGTGAGCTGTGAAAGCATTGAACCCTTAGTCTTATTAGCACCTTATTATTGATTAGTGAGTCTCTTGTTTTAACTGAATATTAAAATGAGGATATGGTTGTTTTGGTAATGGGCATGTTGGCTCCTGGACATTTTAACTGATGTTTCTAAACAAAACAGTGCAAATCACAATATTTTTAGATATGTAAAGAGGTTCTTCTGGAACTTTGAAATGCACAGAATTATATTTTCTGATTTGGGCTTATCGACAGCTTTATTTTTAGGACTTAAATTATTAATGGTGTTTCTTTTCCCCCTACATTTTATTGGCAATAATTGCATTAAAGCTGAACATTATCAATAAAAAGATGTTATTTGAGTTATTTTCAATTTTCCAGACTATTAACGAGACTTAAGGAAATTATTTGGTACACTTGTCCGATCTTAGAGTATAATTTCCTTTTGGTTTTTGATATGTGCTTTTGATACAGCAACAGACTGTATTTATAGCATCAATACAAAATGCTGACAATTAGGAGGATGCTAATATCTTGTTAGATAACCCTTAAAATACATCACCAAATGGAAAGTGTGATGTCCTTTATAATTTTCTGGCTTGTGGTCAGTTTTGTAACAATTTCTCCCCCTTTTTTTTCCAGCTGGCAACTTCTGGGGCAGGACAATGTCAGCCATCTCCAGTTCTACTGACCCATCCAGCTATGATGGCTTCGGACCCTTCATGCCAGGATTTGAAGTGATCCCATACAATGATCTACCAGCTCTTGAGGTATTTGACAATTTCTTGTTCTCTTGTATGAAATAATTTTACAATATTTTGCTCTTTGGTAAATAGCAAGGAAAATCAGAAGTTTATAGTTTGAAACATGTGCTTTGACATTAAGATATCTGTAAGTAGATGTAGATAAGGAATGTGTTTGTTATAATTACGTATAGAAAATGTTGCTAAATTCTGCTTTGGTTTTGATTTTCAGTTTTGCTTTAGGATATGAAAGGTAAACTACATGATCTGTTTAATTTCCCAGCCACCTGGTCTAGTGGAAATGTCGCTGCCCATGGCAAGAAGTGGGATGGGATGAGCTTTAAGGTCCCTTCCCACCCCAACCATCCTGTGATTCTAAGACTAGAATTCACTGCAGTTGCAAATATTTATTTTCAACTTCACAGCATCCTTAAAACCATGCCAGGCTGCTGTTTCACTTTTACAAGCTCCTGAAATGCTAGTGATTCCCAGTATTTCCCTGTTTTATCTGAGATTAATCCTGTCAACCTGTTGGGGAGGGCTGACCTTGACTGGGTACCATTTCTGTGAGTAAAAATCTCTGTACCTGTTGGGCCTGCAAGTGATTGGGCTTTGGAGATTGAGGGATTATAGGACAGAGCTGCTTTTCTCCTTGGAGCTGGGTTAGGGGACACAAAGGTCTCTCAGTGGGTTATAGCTGCAGTGTGGAAAAGCTTGTTCAGGTTTGAATCTTCATCAGGCTGCCCATGGTGAAAGGCCTGCAAGTATTAATGCCTTCATTAGAGCTGAATTCATGTGGGGCAATGCTGAGAAAAGCTGTAGTAAATTCCTGCTGGGAATCACTAGATCTGCTGTGCCTCATGGATTTCTAAACCTTTTTGAACTTGATAGTGCAGGAATGTACCTGTGGACTTTGCTTTAAGGTAAAATTGTTCTGGAGGGGCTCCGTGCTTTTTCTGTTTAAGGGAAGAGTTGAGCAATTGTTTGTAGTGTATGAACTAATATGAAACTCAGGATATTTCTGAGGTGATTTCTGAACTGATCTGATAAACTGCTTGTCTGGGTTTGCAGTTTGCAAGGTTTGTACCTTCCCAAGCAAGCACAGCAGCTGATTTTACCTTGCCAACAGTGACAAAGCATTGGAACTGCAGTGGCACTCAGAGACAGCTGCCTGACAGGAATGCTGCTCTTACCCTTTGATGAAGAACACCAGCTAGGTTCAGGTTCTGCTATGTGTATTTTCTGTATTTGACCTGAGTAAAAGCTTTCTCTTTTTGTCTCTCCTCTCCCTGTGCCCAACATTGCAGCGGGCCCTGCAAGACCCCAACGTGGCAGCTTTCATGGTGGAACCGATTCAAGGGGAAGCAGGTGTGATTGTTCCTGACAAAGGCTATCTCACAGGAGTGAGGGACCTCTGCACAAAACACAATGTGAGAATTCACTTAACATTCAACACTACACACTGTGTTTACTGGTGTAACTTGTAAGGTCAGCCTTCTATGCAAGGCCTAGAACTTTATATACTATTTAGTAATTCCCTTTTCTTTCAGTGGAATAATGCAGGGATACCTCTTGTGTTTCCTGGTAATGCATGACTAAAAAGCACTTCTTAGCAGTGCACATTTTTCACTGTTTCTTACTATTGTCACTGATTTAAGTTTCTAATTACTATTCTTCAATTGGATTTACTTAAAATTAATTTAACTTCCAATTTCTTTTCTGTATTGTAAGTTTCCAGTTACCATGGCTATCCAGGACCTTTGTTGCTGATGTGCATAACTCCTACCAAGAACTAGTAACAATAATGGGTCACAGAATGAAACACTGAGGAAAATGGTTATCAGGGATCTCTGATTTAAAAATCAGTGGTCTCTGTTCCAATAGAATTCAGATTCCTAATTTGTAAGTGCTACTCATAATTCTTTCCGTATCTTCAAAGGAAGACATTGACGTATTATTAATAAAGATGTCTCCATTATTGCTGTGATACCTCAAAAGAAAATTGTGTTGTTGGAATTGGGTTAGGAATGAAAGTAATTCCCTGTTCTGATCTTTTTTCTCTTTAAAGGTTCTGTTTATTGCTGATGAAATACAGACTGGTTTAGCCAGAACAGGGAAAATGCTGGCTGTTGACCATGAAAATGTGAGACCTGATATAATTCTTCTTGGAAAGGCCCTTTCTGGTGGCTTATACCCTGTGAGTACCACAGAAATACCAATGTTTTAAAGTAATGTCAAAGTACTCAAACATTTGTTGAATAATGTTGGGTTTTTTTCCTTAGTCATCAACACTGAAAAGCCAGTTGGAAGAGCAATAAATCTGATGTTTGTTGTACTTGGAAATTATTGTTTGCAAGACTAACTATGATTTATGACCAGACAGTCCAACTTGAGAGCAACATAATAAAATAATGAAATACCTAATACTACCTTTATAGCTGAACAACTGATATTATTTCATTTGTCTGGCATGCCTGCATGGCTGATTTTATCCTCTTGGATTGACTTTAATTCCTGCTGATTAGGCTGGAAATTACAATGCCTTGAACTATTTTGGCCAACTAACAGGATTTCTGAGTTAAACCAAATATTGAAGCTTAAACTCTTGAAATAATATTCAGTTTGGAGAAATTCCCCTCAGCTGTGATTGAAAGTTGTGTTACCACTCTAGCTAAGTGTATTTAAGGGATTAATTATGGGATTGTCAGCTCTGCTATTCTGTACACAGTGCTGGGAATGTAAATGTAATTTATCACCATAGGCTGAAAATTTCCTGAGCTCTGAGAGGAAAGTTTGCTTCAGAGATATTAAAGCTTCCTGTTCCAAATATGTGAATTTTCTGCCCTTCCCATTTTAGGTCTCAGCAGTGCTGTGTGATGATGAAGTTATGCTGACCATCAGACCTGGTGAACATGGATCCACATATGGAGGAAATCCATTAGCTTGCCGTGTGGCAATGGCAGCACTGGAGGTTTGTGTGTGGAGACAGAGATCTGGAATCTAAATTAAAAAGGGTCTCATGATCTTAGCTTAAATAAATAATATTATTTTTCATGCTATGAGTAGAAATCTAGCTTTAAATAAGATTGGAAATTTGGTGGTGGTTATCTGTAGATCTTAAAACAAATTTTAGATTTTTTTGTTGGAAATGCGTCCCACTTTGTGTTCTTATGATCTTAATGTCTTAAACATCAAAATAAGATTTATCTAGGGGAAGTTTCAAAGCAATGATGTAGATTTGGTCAAACACCTTCACTAATTTCATGATAACAGTTTGAAATTGGCTTATTTTACTATATCAGCAGAAACTGCTGCTCTGTGAGCTTGAGAGCAAGTATGGATCTCAAACAGAAACTACAACATCCTGTCCAGAAGGTGCAATTCAATTATTTTGTGATTGCTTAATTGACTCCAGTGATGCAGGTCACACAGAAAACCTCATCACTACCCAGTACTCAGACTTGGACAGATTAAGAGCCTTTAGAGGTTTACTGTTTACTTGCAAATAACAGCAAACAAAGAGCAGTTAATTCAGAATAAAATTTCAAAGACACTATTGTTTCTTGTAGACGTGAATGAGTGAAAGCTCAATACCAACCTGCTGGGACTTGCAGCCTGTGAAGGGACACTGTGGCTGCAACAGCTTTTGTGTCTCAGCAGGTTCAGTGTCATTATCCATCCTTCCCCATGTACATAAAAATGCAGTGCCCTTCAGCTGATTGTAGATCTGACTTCTCTTTAGGTAATTGAAGAGGAAAATCTGGCAAAAAATGCAGAAATAATGGGTAATCTGCTAAGAAGTGAGCTCATGAAGACTCCATCTAATATTGTAACTGCTGTAAGAGGAAAAGGCCTCTTAAATGCAATCGTAATCCGGGAAACCAAAGGTGAGGAAATAAAATCAACTGCACAAACACAGCATGGGGAAGTATTTTTCAACTTAGATTGTAGGTAGGGGATGGCATGTAGACATGATGTTTATGTTCAGAACATGGCTATAGCACTGTAGTACCCACTGAAAATTGATTTAAGTTACTGTGTGCCATTAAAAATAGGGTTTTTTAACTAAGAAAAGCCAAACAATTGTTTTTGAAAGTATTTGAATTCTTTTATGATTTGATAATGTTCCAACCTGATGGTGAATCTGCATCCGAACAAATACCTTTACCTTTCCTCTTTGGAAAAAACTGTCCACATCTGGAACACCAGTTCCTGTCAGATTATGGGAGCATTGGCTGGGATTATTGTTTTCAGAAGAGTACAATGAATACAGGAGGTTACAAAGAAGAAGAAAGTTAATGATGGAGAACAAGTTTCTAGGGAGTAACACCTTGAATTGTATCAGAAATCTGAATATCAATGTATTTGATCAAGGGATAAAGTGCTGCAGGAAGGTGGTGTCATTTTCCATGATGATGTGCTGAAATCCAGGTTACAGACAAGGTTATGGTTATAAGTCCTGTCCACGTGTCCTTACCTCCTCTTCGCATGGTTCCCCTTTTAAGATTTATTTTAAAGTCTGAGTGCCAGACAAGCACTGAGCTGTGAAGGAGCAGAACTCTGTGTGCTGAGGCAAAGCAGTGAGGCAAAGGGCAGCTCTCGAGCAGCGTCACTGCAGATTCCGGAGAGCTGCTCCGAGTGACCTCTCCCTTTGTGACCACCCTGCATCACCTCTCTGCCAGCTGGCAAACAGCACCACGTGCTGCAGGTGTGACACCTCTTCTGCTGTGCTGGGCATGTCCTCAATGTGCTGTTGATGTTCTGCCTCCCTCTCTTTGCAGACTACGACGCCTGGAAGGTGTGTCTGCGGCTCCGCGATAACGGGCTCCTGGCCAAGCCCACGCACGGCGACATCATCCGCCTGGCCCCGCCACTCATCATCAAGGAGGATGAAATCAGAGAATCCATTGAAATCATTCACAAGACCATCCTGTCTTTCTGAAAACATGGCTCTTGCAGTCTGCCTGCTGACTGGTTCAAGGGGGTGTGTTGAAATGTGTGCGATGAAGGCCTGCTCTTGAAACAAGCATCTCTCATTCCTTTTATCTAAGAGGACTTGACTATTCAAACATAGCTGTATCTTTAAGTTATAATGGCTCTGTAGAAAATACAGAATGATTTTGAAGACTTTCCAGGCTTGCAGTACTTGGAAATAAAATTCTGTATGTACTGATCATCTAAGTTGGAATATTTATGGGGAGGTACGTATCATTTGTAAGTCTTGGCCAAAGTTTAAAGTATGATTTATATATATATATATTTTAGGTTGCCTTGCACTCTTATATCATTCTCCAAAATATTGCATTTGGCAATTTTTGCCTCTCAGCAAGATGTCTGTAGGATGGAAGCACTTATCATTGTGGGTGAATTTGTGTTTTTCACGTGCAGCTTGAAAAAAAATTCTAATGCTGAAGGTTTGACAAACTGGGTGTTATGCTGGTGAACTCGAGAAGCATCGAGCTGTGTTCTGTGTATACAATATTTTGATTGTATGACAAGAGATGCTGTTTTCAAGCCTGGTCTCAGTGTTTGGCTTTACAATCTTGTAAAATAGATCTGAACATTTAGATCTGCTTTTACTGTTATAAAACTTTCTGTCATCTGGGTGTTCATATTACAACATGTTTTGCATTGAAAAAAAATACATTGATGTGCAATGAAAATACTCTGAGTCTTCAAAAAGAGCAAACCTCACAGCAATTTGGAAATTTGTAATTTCTCTTAGCCGGTTTTAGCTGAACTAAATCCTGATTAATCACGCAGTGCACAATGTTCCCCTTGCTGAGCACAGGGGTTAAATACAGTCACATTCTCACACTGTGAAGCGGTAAATAATTCTTTGGGTTTTGGAAGGCACCTTCATTCATGGCAGTGACCCAGTGTGGTGGTTGGAGTGCAAGAACGTTTTCCTTCCCATGCTTTGGGTAGCACAGAACGATGTGGGTGAAGCGAGGCTGAGCTTCACTTGGAAAAGCCTCGTTAAGGCGGCAGTGGGATTGTTACCCTTAGGGACGGCAGAAATGGCTGCGGATAAGGTGGAGGAAGCAGTCGGGGTCGGGAGGAGCAGCCCCTTGGATAGCGGAGGGGTGGGAAGGTGTCGGAGGGAGAGCGTGGGCTGAGGGGGCCGGGAAGGCTGTGCCCGGCGGGCTGTGCGGGCCGGGCGGGCTGTGAGGACCGGGCGGGCTGTGCGGGCCGGGAGGACCGGGCGGGCTGTGAGGGCCGGGAGGGCCCGGAGCCTGCCCAGGGCTCTGTGCCCGCCCAGGGCCGCGGCCAATGGGGGCACTGCGGGGCGGGCACAAAGGGCAGTTGGGCATAAAAGGAGGCTGCCCCCTTCAGAACCTTCCAGAAGCCCTCACGGCGTCCGCCGCGCTGCCGTGGGTCGGTGTTCGGCAGGGCTTCCCCGGCTCCTCTGTGGGTACCGGCCTTGGGCAGGGTGCTTTTCCGCACATTACGGATAAGATAAAAAAATGCAGCAAAGTGTTGCCGAGGAAGTTGGGCGTTTCTGAAAGGGGGCTTACAAGGGCAAGGAGAGAAACACACCTGAGAGAAGACAGAGTAAACAGCATCAGCTGGAGAGCTCTCAGAGGCGCAAAAGGCGAACCTCCAAAACCCCCGTGACAGCACAAAAGTTCAGTTTTAGAACTAAAAGGCAGGCAAGGATGAAAGACATGCTGAGGTGTGTTCCCCTGCTCCTATGTGCCGCTGTTTGCCCAATTGCCGGGAGCTGCTGTAGGGCAGAAGATTCCAGTCTGTGCTTTAGTGCTTCTCTGGCCTCGCTGTCAGCAAATGCCCTGCCACGTGTGTGTCCTGTGTGTCCTGCCCCTCAGGCCACAGAGTATTATTTTCTTCTCTGCAGCAGCCACATACATGCCTAAAGTTTGTGGTTGTTCTTGTTTCAGTTCTTACTCCTTTTCTGGTTAAGATTCACTTTCTTTTCCCTGAGAAGGAGCCGTTTTCTAGAGCCCTTGCTGCTGTGCAATTCCCTGCTCCCCCATGCCCTCACTAATGCTGGGAAGAGCCAGTTGAGGTCACAGGGTTTGGGTGCTGTATTGTAGTTTATGCCCAGTATTGTGGAGGATTTTTTGGTTGTTGAAAATGGTTTTGAGGTACAGCTTCGAAGCTGCTCCCTCCTTTTTAAATTCGTGTAATAAACAAGAATTGTGTATAAAATTTTGTCTCTTGCTTTACTCATGTGCAGTCTCTGAAAGTACTGTGCTGTGATAAATTCGAACTCAGTTTCAACCCACTTTCTGGTTGCGGTTTTAATAGGCCAAGACTTTTCAGAACTTGAGAACTTTGTCACACCATTGTTGCGTCTCTGAGCTTTAATTCATCTTCTAGTTGCTTCATCAATTTTTTTTGCAAGCTTATGAAAATAAGAGTATGTGTAGCCTTTCCCAAGAGAAGTCATTCTAAATTGCCCTTATTTAATGATGGGATAATTGAGTTTTCTGTTTTAACCTGAAAGCTCTCTGGCCCTTTTATGTAAGTAAGGATCAGGGTGTGTGTCTGGAACCAGAGCAGACAGAGGGTTTTGATGATTTGGTTTATTACAGTTCAGTGCCAGAACAAGTACAAAATTATATATATTATTTCAGAAGTGAAGACAGATAACAGGACGTCTCTTCTTAGACATTATGCCTGTCACCAGCTAACCTCCACTTCAGAAACGGTAAAAACAGTGTTGGCAGCTGTTCATGAGTTAGGTGGTGGAGCTGGATGGCCAAAGGGAATGTCAGAGTTCTTCTGTGCAAAGTGACAAAATGATAGGCTATCAGAAAGCTCGTCTGCCTCTGGAATGTTGTGTTTGTTTTGGGGGTTTGCTGTATCATAGAAAGTGGTTTTTGTGTCTTAAGGCAATCCTAAAACTGGGATTTGGCAGGTTGTCAGTGCCACGGTTTAAACCTGTCGAACTCAAATGCTACTGCTTGTATAACTGACGTGCTTGTAAAACCTGTCTGTGCTTTTGTTGTCTGGGATCTTAATTAGCCTTAGAAAATTCCTTCAGGGCTTTTATTCCCAAAAAAACCCTGTAGACAAAGTGCCCTTACCCACTGAGTGCCAGAAATCCAGTGCTCTGGGGTTTGTACTTGTTCCAGTGATTGCTCAAGTGGAGGTAGCTCAGCCAAAGGCTGGTGCTGAGCAAATTTTAATTTGAAGGAGGCCAAACTGAAAATAAGTTGCAAATTAGTGTAATACACACACTGAAATGTGCAAAGAAAGTACATGTTTTATGAAATGAGTTTGGTTTTTGCATCATAACTTTGTAGGGGGTGAAAAAGTGAGAAGTGCAATCTCAGAGAATGCCCTTTCTGAACCTTCCCAGTATTTTTTTTGTTTGCCTTAGATAGAGATGAAAGTATGGAAATAGCATTACTTTTTCCTGCTCTAACCAAAATTTATTTTTAAAAAGGCATTTGAAGGAGCTCTGTATTGCGTATCCAGAGGGCTTAGTTTTCTTTAGCAAGGGCTGTACAGCAATAAAACTTTTTCAAAGGCACAAATATGTATCTGCAAAATGTTGCTTTAAGAATTCGGCTGTAAATGTTTAATCTGTCTCCCTCATATCACTTACACATATTTTTTGTCAAGTAGCTTGTGATGTTTCTTTAAATCAGGTCTATGAAATGCTTTTCTAAATGATTAGTGACCCTGCCTTCAGTGCTGTGCAAACACATGGAGGTAATCCAAGCACCCCAGAGCCAAACCAGCATTCCAGGGGCACCCAGGGCAGCCCTTGGCTTCACTGGGAGCTTTGTTTGTGGAAATAATGCCCAATTGTGCTGGCACCTGTGCACTTTGGCAAGGGAAAAGCACCTGGATTTTGGCATGAAATCGTTAAGTATACATACTGGCATAAAAAGAAGAAATTACACTATTTGTGGGTAAAGGCAAACCAAGATTTTAAGGGGACCATGTGAAACATTGAGAGGCAAGAACCACACAGTGAACAGGGGGAGATGGGAAAACATACAATGCAGGGTTTCCTTTTTCCCCCTTTCCTCCTGGCAGTCTTAGGAATCATGCTTGTGACATTGTCCTTGACCTGGGTTCTTTTCAGCTACAAAACCCATGAATCTGTGGCATCAGACAGTATTTTCTAAAGTTCAGTAATCTATTTTGGTAATTTTTAATAGGACCCAAGTGCCTGGTGGTCATGACTGGGTAAGGAGCTGCACATCTTGAACCTATTAGAATTTTCCATGATGAAACAGTCTCTGTTTTGTCTTTTAACAACAATACTGGGGGGGTGAGCTGAGTAGAAAAGCAGGCCTTAGTTATTTATTTGATCTTTTTAATTTGTTTTGTTTTGTCTGTAGATGCTTCTTCATCTTCTCCACCCTTTTAGCAGCAGGTGGAGCCAGAAGCTCAGCTTTAAACATAGAGTTTACTGCTGGGTGGAGAGTTTTCGGAGTTTGGGAACTCCTGGGGGCTTGCTTTTGGGCTGTGACACAAGCTTCAGTCTCAGCTCTGGCTGCTGTATCAGTGCATAACTTTTGCTGTACAGTCCTGTGGCTAATCTTGAAGGCATTGTTTGAAGAATTCTCTCTAGTGTGGCGAATACCTAGCCATTCTGACTGGTAGGGACGAAGGGACAGCTGAGAGGGGAAAAAAAGGAGGCTTTTTTTCTCACATCAATGAAGTAGAGCAAATGAGAAGGTGATTTGAGACAAAATTTTAAACAGACCTTTAAACTTGTGAATTGCTTTCCCTGGGCCTTCCTGTTGTGTTTCCATCCTCCATGTGAGGCTTAAGCAGTTGGAGCTGCTGTATTTGTGCGGTGAAAAGAGGTGTTTCACTGAACATTCCCTCAGCTACTAAAGCAGAAAAGGGAAAAAAGTTTCTGGATTAAAAATCCCTTGTAGTACCCTGGTGGGAAGCTGATGGAGCTTCTGTGTTGAGCAGCACTTGTAAGAGGTCTTAAGGGTCACCAAATGCTTGAAGGTATTAAGATTTCATGGCAGTATTAAGGTTGTAAAAGACCTCTAAGATGATAAAGTCCAACCGTATCGCTTTTCCTGTCAAGCACGGGGGAGTAATTGGGGCCCTTGCAGTCGGGTTGCTCAGGGCTCAAGGAAGAACAGCTGGCTTAGGCCATGGGTTGGAATGCTCCTTTGTTGTTAATTTCCAGTTGAAGTTGTGCTTTTCATGGCATTTTTGAGGCAGCCCAGCATGCTGAATGTGCTGTGGTGCAGATAAGAGGTGACCATCAGAAATCCTCTGCAGTTGTTTCCCTTGAAGCTTTCTGTCCTCCTGCTTGGGCTTGCTTGGGGAAATCCGAGCAGAGATGGTGCTGTCTGGAAAATCCCCAGGCTGTTATCAGCTCTAGTCCAAACAAATACGGGTAGAAAGCAACTCCTACTCATTCCTGTATAAAATCCTAGTAATTTGCTATGATTTAGGCTGCAGAGAAAGCCTCTCAAGAGTATTGACCCTTGGCATAATGCGCAAACCAAACAAAGGCCTGGACCTTGGATGAACTCCCAGATCTTCCCTGGGTCTGACACATGGGAAACCTAATCCTCAAACTAATACAGTCATTTGGAGGAGCTGTGAAATGAGAAAGGGGAGTAATTACCCTCTAAACACTCAGTTCCCTGCCTACCATAGGTATTTCCAGTAGACACTGAGGCTGCCCTGCCTAAGATGAGCTGTGCTAGAGCCTAGTTTTGTGTAAGGAATAAAACCATGTCTCAGATTGGCTGTCCTAGGAGGAATGACAGTGTACATTCCATCTGGCTCTTGCTGGCAAGATGGTCAGTGCCTGGTCAGTGAAGTATTTGGCAGTTAGGGCTTTGCTGAGGGAGCTTGGGCTCACATGGATCCGGTGGGAGTTTTCAAGTAATTTTCCTTCATAGATCATCTTAAGACCATGGAGGGAGAAGATGCCCAGGAATGCTTCCCTACGTGCACCTGTGTTGGGACAAGGACATCTGTTTTCCAGTATTGCTAATAGTTTTTCATATTTTATCCTTAACAATCAGAAATCATGAAATATGAATCACTTGGTCTTTCAAAAACATTTCTGAATAATGTGTTAATAGAACAGAAACATTAATTCCTGCCCTGATGGAGGCAGGAAAGTGGAGGAAAGCAAACTTGTACAAAGCAGAATATTAGAAGGGAAAAGTCAAAAAGGATAGGGAAAATGAGGCTGTTGTATGAAAACACTGCTGGACTTGTGTCCTTGCACCAGGCTGACTGTTCCTAGAGGAGGCTCTGTGTGTGCATGGACCAGAGCCATGTAATTGTGGCATGTTGTATTGTCTGGACTGCAATAAATGCCAGGTGGTGCTGTACAAACACAGCCGTGGCCTTGCTGATACAGTCCTTGATTCCTCCCTGTCATCTATAGGAACAGTTCCTTCACATCAAGGCTAAAGGCAGTGTGAGAAAGGGACTGGTATTTGCATGCAGCACAGTCTCAGCTGGAGAGCTTGGCTTGGAGCTCCCAGGTCTGAGGTTAACCTTGAAAAGCACATAAATGAAAACAAGGTTAAAGCCAAGAGGGGGGTGGGTGTTCCTGTGCAGCTGTTGTGTTCAGAGCAGACCATACCTGTGTCGCTAAAGACACCAGGTGACAACAGAGTGGCCTCTCCAAGCACAGCTGCTTCTTTACAGTGAAGGAGCTGTTGAAAGAATTTAATTTTGGATGGCCTTTCTTTTTGTGGTCCTCTGGAGATGAACTGGGGTCATACAACGTGACTAAGGATTGGTACCACTATAGATGTCCGCAGGTGTGAGGTACAGCTTGTTGTGAGGCAACCTGGATGAACTTCATCCCTGGCAGGGAGGGCCCCTTGTGCATTCAGGCCGCTCATGGGGAGTGGGAGGCCAGGGAGCTCCGGGTGCTCAGACATGGATGGGGGTAGCTTTTTTTTGAGCTGAAAGTCACCACTTTGTAATTTACACAGCATGGGTGTGAGAAGGAACATTTTGGTTTAATCTAGTCCTCTGCCCACGCTGTTCTTCAGCAGGCTGGTGGGTGGTCACATGCTAAACCAATAGCAAGTAAATTAAAACAAACAAAACAAAAATGGCTAACAGCCTTGGTGGTGTCTGGGACCTCCTTACCCATACAGAACTTTTCTTGTCTCGTTGTGGCTGGGCCAGCTCTTCCTGTGCGACCATAACATGCCTTGGTGAGCCCGGAACATATGAGATCTCAATTCACAAATGAAGTTAAAATTACTGAACAGAGGGAGAAAAAGGCTTGGGGTGAAATACAGCACTTTTAGAGATGTACTGGTGCCTGCCTTACCTACCTCCTGAAAGAGTCCTGAGGGTCGGTCTGCCTTGTCTTGGCAGAGCTGAAGTTTGGATCTTTGAAGAATGTGGTCTTAGAGTTTCAGAGAAACCTTAGATGTGATAAATATTTATGTAAAGAAAAGTAATGAGAATGTGAAAATCTGGAATAGTTCAGTAAAAGAAAGCACAGCTCACTGAGGTTGCAGAGAGTGATGAAGAAGCTTTGCAAAAACAGAAAGTGCTGGCAGTGGCAGCAGGTCATAGAGCTCTTTCCAGGCTAGTGCTCTCTCCAAAACCTAGGGAGCATAAAAAAATGCGATTCTTTTGGCCAAATGGATCTGGGCTATCATCTCCCACTTCATTCCTTCCACGCCTTGATTCCTTGTTCTAATCACCCAGGCCTCAGAGTAATCTATTCTCTCCTTAAGATGTAGCATGTGTCCGTTCATTCTTTATTAAGGCTAAACAAGCCAGATGTGGAAATGTTTCCACCACCAATGTTGTGTCTTGTCATGGTTTTAAAGCATTAGCTAAAAAATCACTAGGAAACTTACTCATTTCTTGCTGTGAGATAAATGGATTAGAAGACGAGCAAAACAGGCTTAAAACTTAAAAGGAATAAAGAAAGTTTATTAACAAAACTACAAGAATAAGAAACCAGAATAAAATCTCCAGAAACCCTTTTTCCCCACCACTCAAACCATTCCCCATGTTCACATGACAACACAGAGACAAAAAGCCTGGTGGTTAAAACAGTCTTAATTTTGCTATAGTTTTTTCATCAGTCTTTGTAGAGATAAAAGAAGTTCTCTTCTGCCAATCTATGGAGTTTTCCACAAGAAAACCATTTTCTCATGGCTTTCTATTTTTCTGATGCCAGCCACCCGGAAAACTCTGTCATCAGTTCTCTCCTCACATTTCACACCACTCTGAGGTGTGTTATGGGTCGTGAGTCCAGGGGTTTTTAAGGATGTCATTTTAAGGATGAGTTATTCAAAGGAAGAAGTTTTCTTCATCTGTATCTGTGAGCATCTCTGGAAACAGAAGTTTTCTCTTTGCCTCTGAAGGGCCACAAATCTTCAACAACTGTTACTTCTCTTTTTCTGTTCCAGCATCTCATAAGATCACAACTCCTTCACTTTTTGTTTAGATCCACACTTTGATATACTCCATTCCCCCCAAAATACTCTTTCATGAATTAAAGGAGTTTTTTAGAACACTATTATCCATCTCCATAGTTGTAGCAAAAGAATATTTCAGCTTATTAAAGCATCTCTTTATTTCTCTCTTCATCTGAAGCTTAATTCCTTTCTTCACTGTCTTTGCTAGTTTATGTTGTGTATGATATGATATGATACGATATGATACGATATGATATGATGATCACTATCTCTCCTCCCCCTCTCTCTGGAAAAAAAAAAGATTAATCTGCAAGTCTCATCTGGGTAGTGAAAGAGTTAAAATCCTGCCCAGGCTTTGTAGATGGTCCTGTGATCTCTGCTGGAGTGGCGGCTGGAGCTGTCTGTGATGGAAGATTCTTCATGGCTGTTCTGGAGAGTGTGGCCACTGTCTCAGCCTGCTGCAGGTCAATGGCTTTCCTTCTCCTTACTTGGCAGTCTCTGGTGAAACTCGGCAGTGGCAGAAACGACAGCTGAGCCAGGGACTGGCCTGGCCCAGCAGGCCTGCTGTCCAAGGCTCAGTGAGCCCTCCAGGAAGGGGTTCCTGACAGTTTCCAGTCTCCATTCTCCCTGGGAACCGCAGAGCTCCGGCCAGCCCCGCTCCCCTCATAGCCTTGTCTGGCCTGGTGGGGGGAGAAGGCTGAACCAAAGCCCTCTTACCTCTTCAAAAGACAGAAACCAAAGAGAACAAGAAATTCCTGGGCTTAAGTCTTAAGGTGGTGTTCACAGGTTGAGCTCACTTTTCAGTGGTCAAAACTACTGTCGGTTCTCAGAAATGGACAGTTATTGGCCAGGAACCAGTCTCCATCAGTCTCCAGCAGCTTTAACTTCCTTAGGTGTTTCTCTTTGTTTCTTAAATGCTAATCCATCACATATCTTTGTGTGGATCTTATTTTCAGAGCTTAGGTCTGAGAACAGCAGCCAGAGCTTTCCCATTGTGAGGGTCCGTGAGCCAGCATGTCCCTAGATGGCCAAGAAGGCCAGTGGCAGCTGGCCTGTAGCAGCAGTAGTGTGGGCAGCAGGAGCAGGGCAGTGTCTGACCCCAATCCCCCAGTGCAGAATGGAGTGCTCTGTGGGACCTGCTGAGCTGCATTGCCGTGGGTTTCCACAAAGGAACACAGACCTCCTGCAGCCTGCTGTCAAAATGCCACAGCATTGATGATTTACCAGCAATGAGTGCCGAGGAAAGCAGGCCCAGGACTGCCAGCCGGGGCATTTTTCAGTCAAGGGTGGCTGCTGCTGGTGCAATTGATGGGTTTTGAAATGGTGCTACCCTGAGGAGGATGTACAAGCCTGGCCAGGGGCTGCTGGCAAGGCGGAGGCAGCGGGTGCAGCCAAGCTCAGGCGTGTGAATGTGTCCCTGGAGCCGGGCGCTGGCCTGCAGGGACACTGACAGCAGCTTCTCAGGGCCAGCAAGGCCTGAAGGGCACGGCCATGGTGCTGGGTGTCTGGAAAGGCCAGCTGGCAGAGGGGAGGGTGCTGCCAACCGTGAGGAAGGAGATCCCTGTCCCTTCTGCTAACAGTGTCCCAGAGGATGGTTGAGGAAAATGACAGGAAAACATGTTTCTGAAAAAACTGTTAGTGTAAAAAACTTTATTCCTTCTCTATCTAATTTATCTAATTTATCTATCTAATTATCTATCTATCTATCTATCTATCTATC